AACATATAAGACAAATATATTTTAATTCCAAAATTTTCGGGGCGTTACATAAATGTTTCATCCATTGAACAACAATTTGTGAGTCTAACTTCTCTTGTTTGTCAAATGGCTGCAGGTAATATGCAAAAGACGAAGGCGTGTGGAATTTGTTCGGTCATGGGACATCCAACCGACATGTGTCCAACTCTTCAAGAAGATCCAAATGAATAAGTTAATGTAATTGGCAGCTTTCCAGGACAACCACAAAGGAATTATGATCCTTACTCAAACACCTACAATTCAGGATGGAAGGATCATCCTAACCTTAGTTATGGGAATCCCCAATCAAACCAGCCCATGACCCAAAATTGCCAAAGCTTTCAACAATTCAAGCAGCCATACCCTCCTAGACAACAACAGGGCCAATCTTTTAACTCTGGTATGTCTCTAGAGGATATTGTTAAGTCTTTGGCCACTAACACTTTACAATTTCAACAGGAAACAAAACAATTCCAGTAGGAGGTAAAGGCAAGTATTCAAAGCTTGGAAAATCAAATAGGTCAAATGGCAATAGCAATCAATTGACTGGAATCACAAAGCTCAGGAAAAATCCCTTCTCAAATGGTAGTAAATCCAAGGGAACATGTAAGTGCAATCTTGTTGAGGAATGGTAAAGAGGTTGAAATTCCAAAGGCAACCCCTACATCATTGGAGAAGGAAAAAGAGAAAGATGTCATTGAAGAAAAGAGTGTTCCAACGACAATGGCGTACCTAAGCGTAAGTTTCCACCCCTTTCTGAGTATAAATCGATACCCTGTTTCCCTTAGGCTTTAGTAAAACCCATGAAAGATGAACATAATCATGAACTTTATGAAACTTTCCGTAAATGTGAGGTAAAAATTCCATTGTTAGATGCTATTAAACAAGTACCTCGTTATACTAAATTCTTGAAGGAATTGTGTACCATTAAAAAAGAAACATACAAGGTGTGAAAAGATAAACGTAGGTAAAAATGTCTCTGCAATCATTCAAAGAAAACTCCTTACAAAGTGGAAAAATTCAGGCATGTTTACCATCTCCTGCACGATAGGTAACACTAGGTTTGAAAAGGCCATGTTAGACTTAGGAGTTTCTATTAATGTCATGCCATACTCTGTATACTCTTCTTTAAAACTTGGACCTTTGAATGAAACTGGTGTCATAATTCAACTAGCTGATAAAATTAATGCCTATCCTAAGGGTGTAGTTGAGGATGTTCTCATGAATATTAATGATTTGGTTTCTCCGTTGACTTCTTTGTGCTTGATATGAGATATAGTGTTCAAACTATTGCTAAGAAAACCATTCTTAAAGACATCCAAAGCTAAAATAGATTTTTATAGTGGCATGCTTACTATAGAATTTGATGATAAATTCAGTGAATTTAATATTTACGATGCCATGAAACATCCTAACGAAACTAACCCTATTTATTCTATTAAAGTGATTTATTATTTAAAATAGGAAGTTTTAGAATCTAATGAAAAGAATGCAGTGAAAGTTGTCATTGTTCAGCATATTAAGGAGGTGGATCAAAAGTTACCCTTGAATAGTGGCCTTGCAGGAAGCCATTGCAGCATTGAATGCTTCTCCAAAGTCACCAAAGTCAAGTAAAATTATGCATATTATTTTGCCAATTTCTAGCGAGAGGCCTTTCTATGCAAGTTTCCAAATGGAGGAGGTGAGAACATGGGGCCTTGGAACCGAATTAGCCAAAGTCAATAAACAAAGGCGCTGCTTGAGAGGCAATCCAAGGGCCAAGGGGGGTTCGTTTCGTTAACTCTTTATTTTTATCTTTTTACATTCATATGTTTGGTTAATGTTATTATTTTCTTTGCATTTTACCTTACATTGGGGACAATGTAAGTTTTAAGTGTGAGAGAGGAAAATTCGATTAAGACAATTTAAGTTGAGTCTAAAATTCTCAGTTCCTATTTTTTGTTTATTTTTGACTTTTTGATAAAACTTCAACATAAGAGGGAGAAAACAAAGTGGTTTTGAACAATTTTAGTTGTATATGCTATCTAGAACTTGCCTTGATTCTCTTCGAGGTCACATTGATACATGCACGCATGAACATGATTAAGGCCATCTTTGTTGCATAAGTTAGTCACCTTAGCCAAATAGCCTACCTAGCAACTAATTTTACCTTTTGTTGAGCCCCCTTGAGCCTTATAACTTTTCCTTTTGTAAACTCACATTACAAGCTTTAAATCCGAAAAAATAATATCTTTACCCAAGCCATAGAGCTAGTGGGATATTGTTATTCATTTTGGTACATGGGAATATGAAAGGAATAAGTGTGGGGGTGTCTAAGATTATGATGGTGGAATGGAACATGTTCTCAATTACAATGCATAAGTTTCATTATTAGTGTGATATTTTGAGAAACCAAAAAAATAATATATATATAT